TCACTGCTACCCATGTCTATAACTTTTTCATCATCCGACACTGAAACTCTGTACCCATTAAACAATACCTCCACATTCCCTCCTCTCCCCAGCCCCTGGTAACCACCATTCTACTTTCTGTCTATGAATTTGCCTATTCTAGGTACCTCATATAAATGGAACCATATAATATTTGTCCTTTTGTGTCTGACTTATTTCCCTTAGTGTTATTAATTGAATTGGCCAGTTAATTACTTTCAAGATCTGGAAGTGTTAGAACAGTTTATTCTGTTTTATTGTGGCTCTCTCATGGGCTACAACCTCTTCTCTATCTATACCCTCTCCTTGGGTGACCTCATCCAATCCTATAATTTCTGCTGCCATATATATGTTGACTACTCCTGAGTCTGAATCTCCAGTTAGGCTCTTCATCTGGATCTCTAGATTCATATTTAAATGCCTTCTTGTCTTCTCCACATAGATGTGTAATGGGAATCTTAGACTTCATATGACCAAATCAGAATTCTTGATTTCCTTTCTCCAAAATCTGCCTCTCCTCAAACTTTCCTCGCTTAACCAGTTACTAAAACTAAAAATCTAGGTGTTGTCCCTGATTCTTTTCTCTCCTTTACCTTCCTGTTGTCTCCTTCCTGCCCCCAACCCCCACCATTGTGGCTTCCAATTTTTTACCACATAAATAACCTTTACAAACTCATGATTATGATAGTCATCTGTATCAGAGGTCCCCAACCTTTTTGGCATCAGGGACCAGTTTTGTGGAAGACAGTTTTTCCACAGACTGAGGTTGTGGGGATGGTTTCAGGATGATTCAAGCATATTATATTTATTGTGCCCTTTATTTCTGTTATTATTACATTGTAATATATAATGAAATAATTACATAACTCACTATAATGTAGAATCAGTGAGAGCCCTGCCCTTGTCTTCCTACAACTAGATGGTCCCATCTGAGGGTGGTGGGAGACAGTGACAGATCATCAGGTATTAGATTCTCATAAGGAGCACAAAACCTAGATCCCTCGCATGCACAGTTCACAACAGGGTTAGTACTCCTGTGAGAATCAATGCTGCCACTGATCTGACAGGAAGTGGAGCTCAAGCAGTAATGTGAGTGATGGGGAGTGGCTGTAAATACAGATGAAGCTTTGCTCACTCGCCCACTGCTCACCTCTTGGCCAGGTTCGTAACAGGCCATGGACCAGTACTGGTGTGTGACCCAGGAGTTGGGGACCCCTGATCGATGTGACTGATGTGCAATTCCAATTATAGTCCATTAATAAATCATGTTTCATATATTTTTAACAGTTGATCTGGCAAAGATTTAAAAATATTCTGAGGCTAGGCATGGTGGCTCCTTGTAATCCCAGTGCTTTGGGAGATCGAGGTTAGGAGGATCACTTGAGCCCAGGAGTTTGAGACTAGCTGGGCAACATAGCAAAACCCCATCTCTACCAAAAAGACACAGATTAGCCAGGTGTGATGGTGTGTGCCTGTAGTCCCAGCTATGGTGGGGAGGATGAAGTGGGAGGATCACATGAGCCCAGGTGGTTGAGGCTGCAGTGAGCTGTGACTGCACCACCGCACTCCAGCCTGTGCAACAGAGCAAGACCCTGCCTGGAAAAAAAGAAAAAAAAAAAATCTTTGAATAGACGTTTTTACTATAAATGCTGACTAAAAGCTGGGTGGTAGGAGTGTGTGTGAAACTAATTTAGCAATCGTGTCTGCTGGCCTGTTGCTTCTGCCTTTGTAATATGTCCTAAATCTGTCTGCTTCCCTCCGTCTTCAGTACAGCTATCCTAGTCTAAGCCACCAACATTTGTTACTTAGGGTACTATAGTAATCTCCTCCTTTTGCTCTTGGTTCCCTATTGCCTGTTTTTCAAACAGCAACCAAGGTGGTATCTTAAAAAATTATTTTCAATAATTACAAATTCAAAGGAAGTTACGAAGATAATATGCAAAGGACCCATACTTGTACCGTTCTCCCAGTCCCCCTCACCATTGTGGTTCCATCTTATGTAACTACAGAACCCAGGAAATAGATACTGGAATAAAGTCTAAATATAGTTCTGTGTCATGTCCTCACCTGTGTTGATTCGTATAACCACTGCAGTCAAGATAACTATTTCATCATGACAAGAGATCTCTCGTGTTACCCTTTTGTAGTCATCCCTACCCCCTTACCTCCTACTATCTCTAACCCTTCACAGTGATATTTTTGAAACATGAATCAGATCATATCACTCCCCTGCTTCAAAGCTACCATAACTGCTTCCAATCTGAGAATAAAATTCAAACTTTTATGGTGAAGTATAAAATGTTGAATGACTTGTTCCCTCCTTACCTCTCTGGTCTCACCTAGTACCACTGTTCCCTGCACGGTTAGGTACTCTAGCTATACTTGCCTTCTTTCTAGTCCTCTAACACAGTGGTTCTCAAAGTGTGATCTCTGGACCAGCAATGTCAGCAGGGCCTGGGAATTTGTTAGAAACACATATTTTTAGATTCTACCCCAGACCTACTGAACCAGGAAGTCTGTGGGTGAGACCCAGCAATCATGTTTTACAGATCCTCAAAGATGATTCTGAAGCATGTTAAAGTTTGAGGACCACTATTCTAACAAGTCAAACCCTGCCATATGTCGGCTTTTGCAGTAGCTTTTTTCTCTATCTGGAATATTCTGTTATCCACAACTTACCCATCTTCCCTGACTGGCTCTTCCTTGCATTTAAATTTCTGTTAAAATTATCTCAGCAGAGAAAACTTTCCTCAGTATACAGTGTAAAATAACTAGCTACTCATTTCCACATCCCTCTATTTTAGTCTTTTGCATATTGCCTGTCATTACCTGACTTCGTGTGTGTGTTTTTTTCCCTATTAGGTTTTATGCACTCTGAGAATAGTACTTCGTTTTGTTCACCAGTTGATGCCCAGTGCCTAGAGTAGTGTTTATCAAATAGTATGTCCTTATGATCCCCATTTTTTTCCTATATTCTCCAGAACAATCAAGCTATATTCTCCAGGACAGCTTTACAGAGCAACTAAAGTCTTGTCTGTAGGCAAAGTATTTGCATAATTTGTATTTAATATTTTAATATTGTGATATTTCACACGTGAAATGACCTAGAAAGAGAAAAAAATCTTCATTTTTCTTTCCTCTTTCTTGAGACAGGGTCTTACTCTGCCACCCAGGCTGGAATGCAGTGGCATTATCTTAGCTCACTGCAGCCTCAAACTCCTGGGCACAAGAGATCCTCCCACTCTATCCTCCTGAGTAGCTGGGACTACAGGTGCATGCCATCATGCTTGGCTGAGAAGAATCTTATTGTATGCTGTAGCTTGTATTATCTCACATTGTTTGTAATTTGTTTATGCATTTATATCAGATAGCCCCTCCTTATTCATTATTAAATCATTGATTATTTTGCTAGACTTAAGACCCCCAAATTCTTTATCAGGTACTTCCAAGGAATGTACAGATCACAGGAAACTTTAGACACGTGTTCTGTATTACTAGGTAGACATTTGCCCCTACCTCCAATCTGGTCTTTGACCCAGATTAGATAGCTTGGACCTTGAGTGAGCCTTTGGGCCCTCATGCCCCATCCTTCCTCTACACTTGCAGGCAACCAGTACTAGTAGAGGCTCAGGCCACATGGCCTTCTTGGCCCATTTTTCTGGAGCCCGTACCCTGGTCCTGTTCTTCGGATCCTAGCATTTTCTTGTGAGAAAAGCCTTTCACTTTAAGGCTTGTAGCCAGCTCCTCCTGTCAGCCTGTCCTTGGTTGAGAAACCTTTACAGGCAGAGGAATCCCCTGATGAGGAGGTATCCTTATGCTTGATTGTTAACTACAGAAGGATAGTTGGCTTCATTTTTAAAAGAATGTATTCAGAGCAGCCCAGTTCTTTTTAAAACTCCTTGGCTGCTATCAGTAAAAACAGAATTCTAATATAGAAGATTAATTGTGTATCACAAGATGTATCTTTAACCTGTATCAGAGCTCTTCTTTGGAGTTGGAAAGGAGTCATGAGATTCCAGTAAACATTACAAAACAGTTTCTCCCCCATGCATAATTAAATAGCTTTTAAGTATTATATTTTTTAAATGTTTCTACTTGGTTATGGGTCTGTGATTGTTTAAAAATTCTTTATATTAATCCCAAATTTGGGGGAATAAACTTGGAGCCTCTGTATTGATAATGTATTTAGGTATTCTGTTTTATTCACTAATTGACATACAATTTTGAATGTCCAGCAAACAGGGATGTAAATTCCTTTAGACTGGGACCATTCTTTTATATTCTAAAGCATGCTTAATTTCTTTTTTTTCTCTTTGAGACGGAGTCTTGCTCTGTTGCTTAGGCTGGAGTGCAGTGGCACAATCTCGGCTCACTGCAGCCTCTGTCACCCCGGTTCAAGCAATTCTCCTGTCTCAGCCTCTTGAATAGCTGGGACTACAGGCGCATGCCATCACGCCCAGCTAATTTTTGTGTTTTTAGTAGAGATGGAGTTTCACCATGTTGGTCAGACTGGTCTCAAACTCCTGACCTCAGGTGATCTGCCTCCCTTGGCTTCCCAAAGTGCTAGGATTACAGTTGTGAGCCACGTGCGCAGCGAAGCATGCTTAAAATAAGGCACACAGGTAGTCAGTAAATGGAGGAGTGGTATGGAAACATTCTTGAGATACAATAAAATAAACAAACGGATGAAAATTTGGTTGGGTACATTAGTAGTTTTGTGGTTCTTAGCCACTTTTGATTATGTAAGAAATGGATGGTTATTAGACCAACTTAAAATATTCAAGTATTTTCTTAAGTATTTTTTTCAGAGAAACTATTTTAATTTTAGTACTGTGTATAGGTAAGCAAAGCAGTTAGGCTAAATGTAATAATCTCTGTTACAACTTTTTGATTTGCTTTCTGTTTTGCTTTCTCAATCCTTCTCATGTGATCCTGGATCTTGGGCTGATGATGGAATGATTTTTGAATACTACGAACCACAGAGCCTATTGTGAAGAATGGCAGGCCTCCAACGTCTCACAGCATGCATTCCTTCCTCCACCAGTACACAGGATCTTTCAAGAAGCCCCCATTGCGGAGACCACACAGTGTTATTGGAGGGAGCCTTGGTTCCTTCATGGCAATGCCTAGAAATGGAAGCAGATTAGGTACTTTGATTACTTGTCTATTGTGTTTACCTTTCTGATTATACGTCACGTAAATTGTTAAGTTTTAGTTGTATAAAAGTCAGCAACTTTTATTATCTGGTTTCTTCTGTCAGATAAAAATCAAGTTGAGATCAAGAGGAATAGCAGAAAGATGGAAAGTTCTAGAGAGGTAGTAGTGCTGCCAGTACAGAGAAGTAATATTTGAAAATCCTGTCCATCAGGAGGGAAATGAAACCCATAATAAATGGATGCAGTATTTCAAGATGAATGGCAATTTGGGATGGTGTTTATTTTAGGGTCATGCCTCAGTAACTTTTCAGATCATCACCATATAGCCTAGTGCAATGATTAGTATATATGGTTATCAGCCAAATTGTTTCTTCTTCTGTCATTACGTCTTTAAATATCCAAGAAAAAAAATTTGCAAGTTTCTGTTTATATTTGTTTATTCCTCTGGCCTTTTTTGATGATGTCTTTATGTTTTTATTTTTATTTTTTTTTTGAGACAGCGTCTCCCTCTGTCACCCAGGCTGGAGGGAAATGCAGTGGAGCCATTGAGGCTCACTGCAGCCCTGACCTCTCAGGCTGAAATGATCCTCCCACTTCAGCCTCCTGAGTAGCTGGAACTACCTGTGCATGCCACTACGCCTGGCTAATTTTTTTTTTTTTTTTAAAGAGACAGGGTCTCACTATGTTGCCCAGGCTGGTCTTGAACTCCTGGACTCAAGTGATCCACTTGCCTTGGCCTCCCAGAGTGCTGGGATTACAGGCATGAGCCACCACACCTGTCCTATTATGTTTTGATTTTAAAAATCACTTTAACTATTTTATAGTCTTCTTAGACAATTATATTTACTGAAGTTCCTAGGGGTTTTATTCTACTGCTCATTTTATGTGCTTACTCTTCGGATAGTATATTATTTCCAAATGTGTTTCTTTAATTTTGGGAGTATGAGCTTATCTACAGTGAGGTTTTTTTCTATGAGAAATGCATATTGTCTTTATCTCTGTAGGTGTATCTCTACAGAATGGTGTGCTGGAGTTAGCTCACACTAGTTCATGAGAGATGATTGTTAAATTTTCAGGAACTTTGCAAACTGGTTGTTAAACAGATATTAACTTTTAAATTATATAAGTTTACAAATAAGTAAACTAAATTAAAAACAAAGGTAATGAATACTCAAAAGTCGTTGCTTCCTAATTTTTTACCACTTCTAACTATTATCTATGCCACTGGGATTATTTTTTCTATTCTAGCTCTATGGTCAAAAACACTATATGATGGTGTGCTACTGCACATTTCTTCCCAACCATATGGTCAGTGCTGTCATGTTGGTAGCCTGAAGTTGTCCATGGAGAGAGAAGTCAGAAAACACTATAGATCAGGCCTTGGCTTATTGTTTTCTTGTTTATCTAGACCAGGGGTTTGCAAACCCTTTTTTTAAGGGGACAGTTAGTAATAAATGTTTTAGGTTTTATGGACATATAGTCTCCATTGCATATTCTTCTCTGTTTAATAATCCTTTAAAAATACAAAAAACATTTTTAGCTCATGGGCCATATAAAAAGAAGCCACACTTGTTCTAGACCTTTGTTCTAGAATTAAGACAGTGTATTGAAAATGTTAGTAATGCAGATTAAATTTAAAGGGTATTGTGCTGAAGGAGAAAAGTATATTGTATATGCAGCTGTTACATTACCTGATCAGCAAAGATATCCCTCTCCCCCCAACAGATGAGTAAAGTTCTAACAAGCCTTCATTGTTTCACATTTGTCTTGATGGAAATGAAAATACCAACTGGTAATCATGTCAGAACTATGCTTGTTTGTTAATGACATGAGTAATTTCTTGTTTGGGTCAGATGGTACTCAGTCTGAGATTAGTAAGCTTTCTTTGTCATCCAGTTCCTTGTGCAACAGGACAGATTTTTTTTTAAGTGTACTCTTTAAGTCTCAAAGGTGTAGCACTTTGGGAGTTGAGCCTTTCTGTGGGAAGGTCTCACTTGTAACTCAGAAACCCAGGGCTTCATTGTTTATCCCAGTGTGGAAGGTAAACCTAGGGACCTTCTCATCAAGATCAGCAGCCTCTCCCAAGACAGTGATAAGAGTCAATTTATGCATAACAGCTTTGGGTTCTCAGTCCTCTCTTTGTTTTTGCTTCCTAGGTATTATTGATACATTTTTGCACATTCAGCTCTACGTTTTAAAATATTATATTTTAGTCAACATTTTCTTGAGGAAAGGAAGATTTTCGTATCTCACTAGAAATGGAAGGCATCATTAAATTATTTTTAACATTTTGAAAGTGTGACAGAAAAGATAATGTGACCTCAGATGTGTTATATACCAAATTTTAAGAGGTTAGGAATGAATCACCAATACATTACTTTTGCTGCCAAATTAATTTTTTGTTCACATATCACTATAAAATTTCTCCAGAAATCTCAACATAACTGACTGAAGTGTATTCTTAGATTACACATTGAGCTATTAAAAATCCATTATCATTTGCAACTGCTTATGAATATTAATTGTTTTCTCAATATTGAGTTAACCAAGACAAAAATACAGACATAAAGTGAGTTCTAAGATAGAGTTGATATGAGACCCATGAGTTCATATTTCTCCTTAATCTAAGCAGTTCTCGTAATTTTATATGTAAATATTTTAAAAAGTTAACATACTTATAAAATACTATTTTCAATTGTCTCACACATTGATATTTCATATAACTTCATTTGAAAAAGAGATCTAGTTATCTAGGCCGTTCTTTGATTGTTAGTTAATATGCAGTTCCCTTGAATACTTGTTAAGCACCTTCTAAGTGCCAGACGGTTGGTTAAGTTCTGGAAATAGAAAAGTGAGCAAGCTAAATCCCATCCCCAAGGATCTTATAAAATCATATGCACAAAAAAGTGTTCTTCAGTGCAGTGGGTGGGGGCACAGTAGTCAACTGTGTCTGAGATTAGAAAAGACTTCACTGAGTGATGACACATGAGCATAGTTTTGAAGACTAAGCCTGATCTCACAAGGTTGATAAAATAGGAAAAGGCATCTTTTAAAAATGAGAAAAAGCATGTGTTAAAGCAATGCAGTGTGAAACAACATAGTTCTTTTTGGAAAATGAATACGTGTATAGAAAGTAATAGTGGCAAGAGAGGAGTTCTAGAGATCTAGCATTTGTTTCTGGTATACTCTTCTTGCTAGGTTATTAGAGAATGCCTGACAAATGCAGGTATATAAGTATGTAACTTGGCTGGGTGTGGTGGCTTATGTCTGTAATCCCATCACTTTGGGAGGCCAAGGTGGGTGGATTCCTGAAGTTGCAGTTTTTTGAATTTTTGCAATCAGACCTTGGTGATGACCTTGAGCAGTAGGATATAAGTAACTCCCACATGCTTAGTGTTCCAGTAATGGAACACTAGGCATAAATTGCTACAAGTTCAAGATGAGCCTGAACATCACGGCAAAACCTTGTCTCTACAAAAATAAAAAATAAAAATAAAATAAAAATAAAAAAATAATAAAACAAAACAAAACACCAGATGTGGTGGGTGCCTGTACTCCCAGCTACTGGGAGGCTGAAGCAGGAGGATTGCTTGAGCCTGGGAAGTAGAGGCTGCAGTGAGCCATGATTGTACCACTGCACTCCGATTTGGCCAAGAGAGAGCAAGACCTTGTCTCAAAAAAAAAAAAAGAAAACAGTATATAAGTTTGTTTTTAATATTTTCAAATGGAATTTATCTTCCTCGCCCTACTTCCATTTAACTTTTATCTCTATTAAACATACCATAACCCACCTTTATTGTAATATGTTTTTGCTCTGAACAGATTTTGAGTATTTGAATATCATAAACTTGTTTTTATAGTTCTTGTCCAAAGCAGATATTCAGCAAATAATTTTTTGTTTTATTTTTAACACTGAGGGTGCAGGGAGGAGAAACTGCATTAGCAGCTTTTAAGAGGTGTTTTAAAGAACATGGAAAGAATTAGCTCCATTTGACCGTAGACCCAGTGACACATTATTTAATGGAAAGAATACTAAATAAGAGGCAAATGACCAGGCATCTATTCTAGCTCTGCGTCCAAGCCTTGTGACCTTTTGAAAGTCATTTAACCTTTCAAGTCTCAGTTCCCAGATCTAGAAAATGAGAGCACTGACTAATTCTCAGAGATATTATTTGCAGTTTATATTATATACTCAATATAATATATTTTATTATAGTAATATTATATTACTCAACCCTTGATAATAACTTGAATGTTAATTTTTTTCATAATTTGAAAGTGTAAAAAAATTTCATACTACTATTTTAAGACATTTGAGTCATATTTTCATCTACTAACTGCATACCTGTGGCACCCAGAATGTAAATGACTTTTATACTATGATTTTTACTTGTTGGCCTTCCATATTTTACCCATAGTGATAATAAATTATATATTAGAATATAGTGTATCTCTTTTAATGTTTCATTTTTTAATATAGATATTGTTCATGAAAATCTGAAAATGGGATCAGATGGTGAGAGTGACCAAGCTTCTGGGACATCATCTGATGAAGTCCAGTCACCTACAGGTGTTTGTCTCAGAAATCGTATACATAGACGGATCTCAATGGAGGTAATCATTTAAAAAATACAAATATACCTGTGAATATGTGTGTTGGTATATTTTATATATATTTACTCCACTCGATATGTATACGATACATACATATCGAGTGGAGTAACTGCCCATTTAAAAATTTTCATGAAGACACATGACACTTGTAAGAAAGTTACTTCTTTGCATTCATAAATTGCAGTCTGCAAATATTTCCACTCTACATTTTTATCCCAACATAGATATGCAGTATTATAGTTGCTCACATTCTGTGAAACATTTATTTTAATTTTTGGTGAAACGTTATTTTAGTTTCTCCATTAAGGAGAAGTGAATTTTCAAAAATTCTAGAAATACAGGTTGATACATTAGCAATGTCTTCTTTTTAGAAAATATTATTTTAATTATATTTTTGAGATTCATTTGGGTAATTAGCATTTTATTTTCTCTATTTCAGATTTTAAGAGGTATAAATAAAATACACAGCTTTTTTTCTTGCATTATGTTATAAAAGTGGGTGTCCTTTCCTTTGTGGTTCACTATACCTACTAATCTCTGAAGCACATTTATTTCTCCATGTAAAAGGATGAAGAATTCATTTTCTTTGCTTTGTAAGCGTTGTGGTATAACCTTGAGGATATAAGTTGATCGTGACTGTTATTTCAGTACATACTGTAAACTAAAATAGGTTTCTGCAAAAAAAATTGAACATGTTTTGAAATAAAAGTATTGTTGCTTTTTTGATGCTGTTGAAATGATGATTAGGGTATCTGTCCTATTGGTTGGTTATATTTTCATTATAAAAGGATTGCATCTTGATCAGTTAAGAAAAACTTACCAGTTTTCTAAATGATAAATTAATATTTTCAATTGTTGAAATCAATGATATATTTATGTGACACAATACTAATGAAAATATTTCTTATTTTTCTTCACCTTATAGATGATTTTTAAAATCATTTGTTTTATTTAGTATTAGGGTCTGTATCTGGAGTTTCTCATTCTTCATTGAGCTGTAATTTGTTTCCCCACCACTAAGGAGGCATGCTCTAGATTATATTCTTTTTATAGTATGTATTTTTTTCTGTTTTATGAGACAGGGCCTCATTCTGTCACCCAGACTGGAGTACAGTGGTGGGATCTCAGGTTACCACAGCCTCAACCTCCTGGCCTCAAGTGATCCTCCTACCTCAGCCCCCCAAGGAGCTGGGACTACAGGCACACACCACCACGCCTGGCTAATTTTTTTGTATTTTTTTTTTAAAGACTGGGTTTCACTATATTGGCTTCCCAAAGTAGTAGGATTACAGGCTTGAGTCACTGCACCTGATCTATAGTATATTTTAATATCTGGAAAGACTTATTTTTGTATCTCTCCCCCATATACACATATACTCTTTCTTATTATAGAAGGTTTTTGGATTTTTTTCTGTTTATTCTATTATTGATACATTTTAGGCATTTTATTTTGTTCTAAGAATAAGCTTATTGTGTTTTCTTAGTGGTTATATAACTTATAAGATTAATATAGGGAGGACCAGTATCTTTTCATTACTTATTCTTACCATTTGGTGGCATTGTATGTTTTTATACTTAAGTCTTATATTTCTCAGTAAATATTTATGCAGTTCCTATACCTCTCCATTCTGTTTCATGATTTGGCTGCTATTATGAATAGAAGGTCTTAAATTTCTTGATGTGATGATATAGGCAAGATTCTTTTCAAGTTTCTCCCAGCTCACATTGTATAATTAAATAAAGTAGAAATGCCATTAACATGGCAGTAATAAATATAATTCTCTTTCCCCACGTTGCATACAGGATCTTATGTACTTGGTTAGTTATTTAAACTGATCACAGAGTTTGTGGTAGTCTTTGCCTATTCTTACTATAATAATTTTAAAGTAAATTTCAAGTTTAATTTATCAGTGAAAGGACTTAAAAATTACTGGGGTTGCAAAATTTCATTTCTGTAACACTTCGCTGTGTATGTTTGCTTACAGTAAATGTTTTTGCCATGAGTGTGTCACATATAATCCATGTAGGTAACTTTGCAACTGCAATAAAACTTTACAGTTACTTATCACTAAGAAATAATATATTAGAGCCTATGAATACAAAAGCCAAATGCCCTTGCCTTTTCTATTTTTGATTACTTTTTTTTTTTTTTAAAGGATTTAAATAAGCGGTTATCACTGCCTGCAGACATCAGAATACCTGATGGGTATCTTGAAAAGTTGCAGATTAACAGTCCACCATTTGACCAACCAATGAGTCGAAGGTCTCGTAGAGCTTCCTTAGTAAGTTTTTGGTCTCCTGTACCTCCACCATCAATCAGATCTGCTTGTTTGATTCTTCTGGGTGTAAACATTTTGAATTAACTTTTATATTTGACCTTGGAATAGCTAAATTTTATTATATTGCCTTCTCGATTTTATTATTTCCCATTCTTAAAGGTTTATTGGAACCCTTAAGATGCATTCAATAGAATGCATATTGGAATAGGATTTAAGGTATATTATATTTTATTTTTGGTAAATATTAATATGTGCTAGATATATAAATACATACTAGATATATAGATATACTAGATATGTGCTGGATAGATAAACATACATATTAATATATACTAGATATACAGAGAAGTACACAAACCATAATTGTACAGCTCAACCAACTTTTGAAATGTTAACATACCGGTGTAACCTAGTACCTGGATCAGTAAAAGAAAATTTCAGAAATCTCAGAAACCCCGTGCTACTCCCTTTCTCTTTACGTAGTATTCCTCACTTCCTCAACTGTAGCCATGCTCTCTGCCTTCTGATGCTAAAGATTAGTTTTACCCATATGTGTGACACTGTTCTGATCATACTGTTTTTATAGTATGTTTTGATATGTGGATCTTTTTAAATCCCATTCACATATATTCTTATTTATTTTTTAGATGTGTAATATTATCTTTCTGATTATCCTTATTAAAACTTCTGAGCTTTGTGTAATTATAAATATGTAATTATATTAAAATATATTTTATATAAATATATAGAATTATATACTTATATAAAGTTTATATATATATTGCACAATATGTATCCCAGTATGTATGTAAGTTATACATATGTATTATTTTTGTGGTTGGCTTCTTTTGTTCAGTGTTACGTTTGCGACTTTCAGCCCTATTTTTGTGTGTAATTATAGATCATTTTCATTGTTGCATAATATTCCATTTATGAGTGTACTGTACTTTATCCATTCTCTTGTCGATGGGCATTCTGGTTGTTTTCAGTTTTTGGCTATTACCAAATAATGCTTCTATCACCATTGCTGTGCATGTTTTTTGGTTAACATATGTAAGCATTTCTGTTGAGTGCTTACCTAGGAGTGGAATTGTTGCATTATATTGTATGCGTATGTTGTGCTTCCCTAGATACTGTCAACAGCTTTCCAGAGTGGTTGTACCAACTTATACTTCCATCACTAGCATATAATAGTTCTGGTTGTTCTCCTTGCCAACTTTTGATAATGTCTTTTAAAAATTATTATTTTAACTTTTCTAGTGAGTTGATAGTGGTCTCTTGGTTTTGTTTTGCATTTGTCTGATGACTAAGTTAAACACCTTTCTATGTGTTTATTATTCATCATATGTTTCTTACATGTTTATATTTAGATACTCTCTTTGTGAATTAACTACCCAAGTCTGTTTTTCTTCTCTTTCCTATTGGGTTTTCTGTCTTTTCTTATTGGTTTATACGAATTTTTCAGTATATTTTGTATAAAGGACCTTTGTCATTACATGTCTTACAAATACATTTTCCTAATATTTAGTAATTAACCCAGCACCATTTATTCAAAGGATAACTTTTCTTATTGCAGTATCACTTTAACATAAATTCAGGTGGTTGTTTATGTGAGAATCTCTTTTGGGTGATGATAGTCCTATAGTAGAGATACATATAAAGTGCTTTGGGACAACAAAAGAGGCAGGAAGTAAAATGCCTTGGTAAATTACAAACTTACAGAGATAGCAGTTGTGTTGGTCCTAGAAGGATGGGCAGAAATTTGTCAGTTAAAAGTGGTCTATGAATGAAGGGTGTTCTAAGCAGAGGAAAATTTGTGTACTAAAACTAAAACCCAGAGGTTTGGGTGTGTATGTCATGTTTGGGAAATTAGAACTGATATGAAGGGTAATATGGAATAATATAAAAGCTATGGCTTGAACGGACAGGACAGATCCAGAACGAAGCCTTAGATGTCAGGCCAAGGAGTTTGGACTTCTTCCTATGTAATGAGAAGACATCAAAGGTATTTATTTAAACAGAGGCTGACATGATCACATTTTTGTTTCATAGCATTAGCTTTAGGAAAAGTACAAACAATGAATTAGAGAGAAAGACTAGAGGCAAGGAGAATTAGGAATTTATTCAAAATTAAGGGTGATGTGGCAATCAGATGGAAATAGAAAGTAGAACATAAATCCTAGGGACCAGGAAGGGATAAAATACCACCTAATATCCAGTTGGACTTTGCACCTGAAGGAAGAGAAATTGATGATGACTCTTGGATTGCTAGCAGTTGATGTATCTCCTTTTTTACATTATTGTTGTTGTTATTATTATTATTATTATTATTTTTTTTTTTTTTTGGAGACGGAGTCCTGCTGTGTCACCCAAGCTGGAGTGCAGTGGTGCAATTTTGGCTCACTGCAATCTCCGCCTCCCCGGGTTCAAGCGATTCTGCAGCCTTAGCCTCCCAGGTAACTGGGATTATGGGTATGCACCGCCATGCCCCACTAATTTTTGTATTTTTAGTAGAGATGTGATTTCACCATGTTGGCCAGGCTGGTCTTGAACACCTGACCTCGAGTGATCCACCTGCCTCGGCCTCCCAAAGTGCTGGGATTACAGGCGTGAGCCACTGCATCCAGCCTTTATATATTATTATGTAATGGAACTATTTTCTTTGGAGACAAGGTCCAACTCTGTCACCTAGGCTGGAATGAGGGGTAGGCGCCAATCATAGCTCACTGTAATCTTGAACTCCTGGGCCCAAGCATTCTCACATGTCAGGCTCCCTGAGTAGCCTAGGACTGCAGTGTACATCACCACACCCAGCTAATTAAAAAACTTGATTTTTTTTTTGTAGAGATGGCATCTCACTGTGTTGCCCATGCTGATTTCCAATGCCTGGCCTCAAGCAGTCCTTCTGCATTGGTTTCCCAAAGTGCTAGGATTATCCGGTGTGAAGCCACCCCACAGCCACCTGGCCCAGTGGGTCAGGTTAGATATTCCAGTTAGATTTTTCTAAAAAATATTTTGGTTACATACTCTAAAAAAAAAAATCACTTTTATGCTGTATATACCCATGAGCACATTGGTTATTTGACATTCACCAATATATAAATATGGTAAAAAGTATAACACCAGACTTGATTTTGGTATAAGCTTATGATTATCATAATTCAGCATCACTACTTAAGACATTTTTTTGGGGGGTGTGTGTGTGTGTGTGAGGAGAAGAGAGAGAGAGAGAGAGAGTCACTTTGTTACCCAGGCAGGGATACAATGATGCGATCTTGGCTCACTGCAACCTCTGCCTCTGGTTAAGTGATTTTCATGCCTCAGTCTCTTGAGTAGGTGATATTATAGGCATATGCCACCATGCCTAGTTAATTTTTTGTATTTTTAGTAGAGACGGGTTTTGCCGTGTTGGCCAAAGCTGGTCTCGAACTGCTGACCTCAAGTGATCCACCTGCCTCAGTCTCCCACAGTGTTGGAATTACAGGCGTGAGCACTGTGCTTGGCCAAGACATTTTTATTGGGATGATTTGTGCCATTTGATTGTCAGGTCAAAGTTTTCTGGCTATCAATTTTTATCAAAGATTGGTACTTAGGAATAAATTTTGAGGTTGTATTTGTTCCAGTGGGAGTAAAAAATTGATTTAATCACCATGTAATTTTTAAACTATCATTTAAGGAGCATCTTTTACAGTCTACATGAAATTAAGGAAAACAGTGCCCTCTAATGGAATGCTAGTGATTAGAGTTTTTATTTGTATGGTTAAGTGTTCCTACCTACCTCCCCTCCTTTTTTGTGAGATGGAGTTTCACTCTTTTTGCCCGATGCTGGAGTGCAATAGGCATGATCTCGGGTCACCCACAACCTTCGCCTCCTGGTTCAAGCGATTCCTCTGCGTCAGCCCCTGAGTAGCTGGGATTACAGGCATGGCGCACACAGTGCTGGCTAGTTTTATATTTTTAGTAGAGACAGGGTTTCTCCATGTTGGGTCAGGCTGGTCTTGAACTCCCCAATTCAGGTGATCTGCCTGCCTCAGCCTCCCAAAAGTGCTGGGATTACAGGCGTGAGCCCCTGGCGGGCTGCCTGGGCTTACAGATTTCAGATAAATCATGCCAGCTATGTTTTGGATTTTTACTGATACATCCATTTTCATTATTCATCTACCTTTACTAAGCATTACTTTTTTGGAAATAGCATTAAAAATTTATTCTTCAAAATGAAAATCTCTAACCCTAGGTTTATATTTGAACATAGGCAGTGAAGGAGGGGCAAGTGAAAGTTAGGGATGGATGGAAAAGGAGTGGGAAAAAGAAATTCATTCTTTCACAATGTATTAGAATTTGTGTATCTATGGATAATATATTCTTTAATATAACTAAAAAGTAAAGATTTTTTCAAAGAGATCAGTTTTTAGCATAGAAGTCTGGACCCTAGGTTTATGTGTAAGAAATGAGTAAAGATTTGGGATGGATGGAAAGGAGGCGGAAAAGAAAATATTTCACGTGTTAAGAGTTCATTTTTTCCATGGATAGTTCCCTTTAATCTAAAATAAAGTTTTTAAGGCTAAAATCGTAAATTTTAGGCTTGTCTTCTGAAGTTTTAAACTTTTCCAGTGGGTGTTCTCATTTTTTTTATTTTTTTTTTTTTTTTTCAATTATTCTGTAGAGACCAGGGTCCAACTATATTTGCCAGGCTGGTCTTGAAACCTCCTGGCCTCAAGGCGTTCCCTCTTTGTGCTTTGCCCTCCAATCATTACAAGGTGGTAAGCCACCTTCCTGGCCGTGTTTCATATTTTTCATAAATGGCAACGGTATATAAATGAACGGTAGTGAAAATAATCATAAAACCTTTGGGCTTGAGTAGGAGTTAATAGAAAACAATTCATTTTTGCCTGGAGAAGTATACAGTTGGTGGCTCCCAGCTGGGTCTAATATGAAATTTATAGGTCATCAGCTTCGGCATAGATTCCCCAGTTGTTTGCCTGGCTGAACTCCACTGTCTTTCG